TGCTAAAAGAATAATCCAGCGGACTTAAATCAGGGCTACGTGCAGGTCAAGATACTTCGCTACCGCGTCCAATCCAACGGTGCGGGAAATTTCTATTAAAATATCCTCTTACTTCTCGGGTATAATGCGCTGTCAATTTATTATGTCAACGCCTACTACTTTGAAAAAAATAATTTTTTTAATTTAATTCCCGCCGAATCATACAAACTTAAAATGTATGTATCTGAAAACGGTTGAGTTATCAAGTATACCTTTTTTATTTACAACTGAACATAGTTCAATATTTTCTGGTTAAAAAATTCAAAGTTGTAAAATACAAAAAGTTAGACATATTTTTACATTGATAGGGCAGTATAACTAGCGCCCCCTAGACGTGACTCCCACACTATTGGCATACTCGTATTTGCCACTTCAAAAAACGTAAATCTACAAATTTGCATAACAATCGGTTTATACGTATTTAAAATATAGCAAGAAATCGAAAATATTTTTTCAACTTTAACACCCTGTAGAACGAAAAGAGGCAACAATTGATTAAGGCATGTTTAAGCTGTGTACCATTATTAATGACTCACCCTGTATATTAAAAAAAAGATTTCAGTTACAAATTCAGAGCCGTATACCGCCCAAACAGAGCAACCTTGAACTGGGGTAAATTTAGCTAAATCGACTTATTTTGAGCCGCACTGTATCTGGTGGAGCATTTTAAAAACCTTTTTGGGACACCCTGTTACGGACCGCAAGTTGATTAGTTTTTACAATAACACGTTCTATTAAATAAAATATGAAAAATATGGAAAATAACACATACAACTGGTAATAGCAATAATAAGAAGTGTCGGTCAGAATAACACAAACTTAATTATTAAAAAATTGCTGTGATTTAAAAACACCATTTTCTATTCAAAAACTAAAACCAGCACCTACCTACTACCTACAATAAAAGACCTCAAACATTGTTTTGTCTGTAATTAGTAATTATCCATTCGAATTTACTTTTTCACAGACGTTTGTGAGAAAATTTTTAAAAATCTTATTTCTACCGTATCGAATAGAAAAAACTACCCCATCCAACAAGAATTCCGCCTTTTAATAATCTTAATGAATTTGCATATATGTTGGTACCTCTTACAATATCTTCTCAGTATTCGTCTTATAAATATAAATATTTGAAGGTATCATATTTCGTTATTCCATTCTTTAAATCCGATTAAGACAGAAACACTGTTTAAATTTACTATTGTAGATGTTGAGTATCAATTATCATCTGTTACTATGGTAGAACATATTTAAAAAAAAGAAAGAATGTGATATCGCTCCCTCTGCCTGAGCGATGTAAGTACTTTACTTTACTGGGACATAGGTATACTTTCATTGTAAATTCTTTACAAGATGTAGTTGAAACTTCGGCCCAGAGATGGATGTTACGAATTCAACCACAGACAAAATATTCACGAACAGACTGCATCTGGCAATGGAAGTTATAAATCTTTATAGTGGCGATAGAGACCGCTACTGTTTGCATTTATATGTATATAGGCTAGTTAAATATATGTAGGCTTCAAATTCGTGAAAAATACTGATAATTCTAGTTCTAGTTCACTCGATGTGGGATGTCGTCTAGAAAAATGTGCATAAAAATCGTATTCGCACATAAAACAATTGCAGAAGTTATAAACAAATAAAGATTAAAAAAGCGATTTGGTATTTTGCAAATAAATCGAAAATATAAGCTTTAGCGTCAATATGAAATAATATCCTAAAAGAGGATATTTCCTATAAAAATGCCCCAACTCCCGAATCTCTATCGTCATTATTTACATCAAAAAATTATGGTATTATTTAGACAATTGAATAAAAAAAAAGTCCCGTCAAGAAAAAATTGTTTCATTGATTTTTCAATAAATAGGACCATCGTTAATTAACTAAAAATTTTAGAATTTACGTTAACATTCAAAGTCGGATAATAATTGTTTAAAAAATGTATTAAAATTATTTTGCTTCCTGGAGACCTTTTGACAACTATACTTAAAGTTCGCCTTATTGCGACATTTTAAATAGTTTTTAACCCATTAGTTATAAATTTTATTAGTTAACAAAAAATTAAAAATTAATGAAAAGTGGTCAAAATATTTTTTTAAGGGAAAATAATGTTGACACTGTTTTTATGATAGAAAGCGACATTAATAAATATTAGCTAAAAATTTTTCGGTACATGTTTAAATAATTTTTATAAACAAATGTAATAGTTACATATTTTTCATATTCAAATATTTATTGCTTAATAAAATCGTCTTGAAGGTTCATATATTTAACTTCAATAGTTTATTAGATATAAACAGTCAAAGACAGAATAATACAAAGAAAAGCTTAATTTTTTATAAACAAATTCATGTAACTAACGATCTACTCATTTGAAAGATCAATTAATATTCTACAAAATTGTCTTGAATGTCCATAACTGTGGTTAGTTTTGTTATTTTTTTCTCTATCTAAAAAAAATAAAAGAACTTTTAAATATTGTTTATAACAAATTGTTAAATAAACAAATAAATGTTCAACAATTTTTTTCTGTACTTAATCTTCTGGAGGATAATTATAAATTATACAGGGTGTCGGGTAGCTTCGGGGAAAAAATAAAGGGTTATATAGAGCAGGTTAAACGAGTGCTAGTATTTCATATAAACTTTTTACCTAGGTGCCATTGTTGAGGAATTATTGTCACTCAAAATAAGAAGTTGAAAAATGAATATAGCCCAAAATTTCTAAAGGGTTACTTTGATCAACTTGAATTTTGGGGAATCGAAGCAACTCATTCAAATGTATCTTTGTACATTTAAAATTGAATCAAATATTGTTTATTATACAAGGACGGTCAAAATTATGTTCTAAAATTTACGCAACTTTAACAGAACTGTCAAATTTGACATTTCACCCTCGCAAGTAGTAGTTACTTTTCTACAAAAAAAGATATACTTCATGACTTATGAAAAAATGAAGGGTTGTCAAGATAATTAAATGTTTGTATTTTGTGTAAAGGGGAATTAATTATCACATTATTATAATCAAATTAGTAGGTTGCTAAATGTGACAAGAGACGCATTAAGGCAGCTTAAAATTAATTCCCCTTTTATTGAAAAATTAAAATAAAATAATGAAATACTCTTATGAAGAATATGCAGATATGCATTTGATTTATGGAGAAGCGCATTGCAATTCTTTAGATGCTCAAAAAATTTACTCAGTACAATTTCCAGGTCGGTAAACTTTGTACCAAATCGGAAAACTTTTCAAATATGTAATCGTCGCCTAAGGGAAACAGGTATAAATGAATAGTAATGTAGTTACAAATTTATTTTAACCGTATTGCAAGCATATTGCCACGACGTGGTGGGGAAAGATCCCCTAGACGTGCTGTTTCCTAATGTTTTTTATTTCGTTTTCTAACATAAAAACAGTGTCAACATTATTTTCCCTTACAAAGAATACTTTTTATTAATTTTTAATTTTTTGTTAATTAAGAAAATTAACAACCAATGAGTTATAAGCTGTTTAAAATATCACAATAAGGCGAGCTCGTTAAGTATAGTTGTCAAAAGGTCTCCATGAAGAGAAATAATTTTACCACTTTTTTTAAACAATTTTCCGACTTTGAATGTTAACGTGATCTCTAAAATTTTTAGTTAATTAACAATGGTCCTATTTGTTGAAAAATCGATGAGAAAATGAATTTTTCTTTATTCAAGTGTCTAAATAATATGATAATTTTTTGAAATTTTTATATTAACATTTAATATGATAAAAAAAATTATATCTTAAAGTCGGTTTTGTGACTCCGCGCGCTGTGCGTGCATTGCTTTCGATGCTAAAAGTCCTATTTTCAACATTAAATTAAAATTATAAACGATGACGATAAAGATGCGGGACATTTTTATAGGAAATTTCTTCTTTTAGGATATTTTTCAAATTGACGCTAACGCTTATATATTTCGATTTATTTGAAAAAAAACAAATTACCTTATTTTAAGCTTTATTCTTATATAACTATTGCAATTGTTTATGTGCGGATACGAATTTTATGCATGTTTTTCTAGACGTCATCCCGAATCGTAGAACCCTCACCATCCCTTAACTCGAAATATCAGAATTATTCACGATTTTGAAGATGTTAGGATTCAATTTTAGCTAGCTCGTTTAAAGTTTTAGAAAATATCCCTCGATGTTCTTCATATGTTCTTCAAATGTCTTGCCCAATTGACATCGTCGGGGCATACAAGATAGATATTCCTTGTAAATCCTTGTAATACCGTCTCCATGAGTATTTCAAAATGGCCGGAGCATTGCAGAGGCCAAACCTATTCCAGTAGAGAAAGCAATCATTTCTTTGTCCTTTGAATCGACTTCTAGGTACTTGTCAATAACCACATTTGAGAACCAGCATAGAAAACCATTTTGCATTTGCCAGAGTGTCAATTCTAGGTAGAAGACAACTTACTGTCTTTCTTGGTTCTATCATTTACCCTTCTGAAGTCAACGCAAAATCTAGTAGAGCGTCGTTCTTGGTGACTAACACTACTGGTAAACCCCACGGGTTATTCAATGGTTCAAGACCTCTACCAGTATCTTCACACGATATAGACTGACATTTTCCGATAACAGCACCTGGATTCAGTTTCTGTCCTTGAGTTTTGAAATTTACAAGTCGGACATAAATCGAATCTTGCTTATTTTGCGTTAAGATTAGAGCCAACAGTAGTCCTTTTTTTCTTCAGCATCACTTAAAACCCCTTTGGCTCAAATTTCATCAGTTTTATCGACTGGACTTTTAGGGCCGGGAGCTAGCATTCTTTTGGGCATATAACGCGCGATCTGTTTGTATAGCTATTTTGTCTATGACGCAGCTAATAACTTTATCTGTATGAATTCTATTTTCTATTTAAATTGTAATTGTTGATTGAAATATTGTATACTTTAAATATATATAACAGTAAAACTCTTACCTTTCTTTTCATGGCGATGCTGTTGTCCGTCAATTGTGAATCCAAATTCGTAAGGTCTCCCTTCGTCGCTATCTTCTTGGCTTAAAGCTACTGTCAGAGTTACTAGAATGTAAATATATACCTGAAAAATATGAAAAGTAGCGATTATTGCAAAAATGAGAACATTTAAATATTATTTTCAATAATACGTTTTTCAAGATATTAAGCTAATTCAACTTAATATAATTTTTTTAATTTTCATAAAATTTAGTTATAACGTTAATACAAAACGTCGAAGTAATTATCATAACTATAAAGAATGAAGTTTTTATTTTATATTATATTATATTATATTGTATTGTATTGTATTGTATTGTATTGTATTGTATTGTATTGTATTGTATTGTATTGTATTGTATTGTATTGTATTGTATTGTATTGTATTGTATTGTATTNACGCCTACGCCTTTTTTGGGGGGCGGTATGTTTAGAATTCAAGTTAATTTTAATTTTAAATATTATGGGTTGCCTATAGAGTAGGAAGAAATGTACACATTTTATTTTTGGTAGTTGTTCCTTATCATTGCGGTTATTTGTGTGGCAAAATATCACGCTTTTTGTTGAGGATTAAAAGTGAAAAGGACGTGTGCTTCAGACACAAAAGACATTTTTCCGCTAAACTACGCTCCAAAAAACTGTATTTTCTTTTAAGTGGTGCAGAAAGATAATTCTGGTGCATTATTGTGAACTATCTAGGAAGAAGCCGGCCGGCCCATCGCTCCAAGAATCGCTTTAAGGTGAGTTTTGTCACTCGCTTAATTTTACATTCATTTTCTGCATAATTATCGTTCCTTTGGTAATATTATTTTAATACATTAATAAATCCCAAACATTTTATGGTCAAGATTCGAGCCGGATTAATTAACAAAATTCATATTATATGTGTGCATTTCTTTTTTATTCTTATTGGCAAATTTATTTTCATTAACATTAATAAGACTATTTATAATTTAACATTATCTGAATATCATGGAAAAAAATATTAAAAAATTCAAAGCTTTGCGACAGGAGGCTATTGATCAATTACATCAACTGCATAACATTGCTCAAATTGCAATTGATAATGTTACTTCTAGACGATTATTTAAACTGAGATGCGAAGATATTTCCACTATTAATGACGAATTCAAAGAAAATCATTCCAATCTAATATCGCTTCTATCAAATATTGAAGGTGCGGATTTTGCAACAGAACAAAATGTTAGAGATTCATTTTATCAGGAATATTATGCAATCAAAGCTATTTATGTGGACATCTTTGAAAGTGATGATGGAAAAACCACGGACATGTGTGAAAAATCACATGTCAATCTACCTCAATTAGATCTCTTGCACTTTAAGGGTGATTTACGTAATTTTGCAACTTTCAAAGATATGTTTGAATCTTCAGTTCATTCTAATAAAAATTTAACTAATGTAGAAAAATTTAACTATTTGTTATCGTGCTTATCTGGTCCACCTTTAACTTTAGCAAAAACCTTACCGCTTACAGGAAATAATTATTCGATAATTTATAACAAACTAATTTCTCGTTATACTAATAAACGCGTATTAGCTAACTCACACTGGCGGGAAATAGAAAATTTTAAAAAACTCTCTTGTCATGACACGTTATCTCTTCAACGTCATTTAGATGTATTTAATGAAAATTTAAACGCTTTAAAAAATATAAGTCTACCCGCGGAACATTGGGATTTCATTATCGTGAATAAAATGTTAGAAAAACTGGACAATGAAACAGCGGCGGCATTCGAGTTGTCTCAAAAAAGTAACGAAATTCCAACTTACGCTTCACTTATTGATTTCGTTGAACAACGTTGTCAAGCAATGGAAAATTTAGCTCTTATAAATGTATCCGAAAAATATAGAAAGTCTGAAAAAACCAACCGTTTTAATAGCTCAGTTTTTCTGACTAACTCGGAATCTACATCCAGTTGTTTATTGTGCAAAAAATCACATCAGCTATATAAGTGCGCTGAATTTGCCAAGCGATCTGTGGACGAAAGATAAAATTTTGTTAAAAATAAAAGATTATGCACTAATTGTTTAAGCTTTATGCACTTTTCAAGTTCTTGTAGGTCGAAATCCTGTTGTAAAATTTGCAATAAACGCCATCATTCACTGTTACATTTTGAGGATAGGCATTCAAATACGACATCCGCTGTACAGGGTGATCCTATACAGGGGACTCAACTTATAATATTTCGCAAGATGGACTCATATCAAAACGCTATTTACAGGGTGATTCATTATTAGTTGAACCTTCTACTTCTAACGCTAATCATTCTGGAGTGATACCGCCGGTTACAAATGCACATTCATTCACAGGAATTATTTCTCGCAATAATGGAGTTTTATTATCAACCGCACTTCTTGAACTCGCTGATAGGTGGGGAAACTTTCAAGTTTGCAGGGCTTTGCTTGATTCTGGATCACAAACTACATTTATCTCGCAAGAATGTAGTAATAAGTTAGGTCTGCCTCGCTCTAAATTATCTTTATCAGTTCGTGGTTTAGGATCTATGCAAACCATACTAAATTCAGGTACTGTTAATACCACGTGTCGACCAGTTGGGAAGTCTGGTCCGCTTTTAGACATACTGGCCGTAGATTTACCAAAAATTTGTGACGATATACCAACTGTGGAAATTCGGGATCCTTCTTATACTTATATTTCTAATATAAAGCTTGCCGATCCTGCTTTTCATTTACCGGATAAAATAGATATTCTATTAGGTGCTGACATTTATCCTCATATTTTATTAAATGGTTACGTAAAGGGAAACTTAGACGAACCTTTAGGTTTAAATACTATATTTGGTTACGTTTTAATAGGTAAAGTCAAAATGAATCCTTCTCAGCAAATTAATTCATTCTTTTGCACTACTGATCACGAACCGTTAGAAAATATTTTAAAACGATTTTGGGAATTAGAAAATATTCCTAACGCCCACGCAATCTCCAAAGATGACGGTGACTGTGAACAATTCTATTTAAATGCAACGACTCGCGACAAGGAAGGACGATATATTGTCAGTTTACCTTTTCGTGAAACTGAACCGCATTTTCAAAATTCTCGCTCTTTGGCACTTCAACTTTTATACTCGCTTGAAAGACGTTTATTAAAAAATCCCTCTTTATATAAAGAATACGCTTTCTTTATGCAGGAATATCTCGAATTAGGTCATATGGAGGCTATGGCACCTTCTAATATTTCAAATCACAATTTTTATTTACCGCATTCTTTTGTGCTTAAACCAAATGCACTTTCTACAAAATTACGCGTAGTATTTAACGCTTCCATAAAATTGCGATCGGGACCAACACTTAATGACACTCTTTATATTGGTCCTAAGTTACAGAAAGATATCATCAATATCTTGCTTAATTTTCGATTTCATAAATTCGTGTTTATCGCGGATATAAAACAAATGTATCGACAGATATGGGTTAACACTGCGCATAGGGACTATCAACGAATAGTGTGGAGATTTTCTCCAGAAGAACCTGTCAAAGATTATCGCTTAAATACTGTAACTTACGGTATATCATCCGCTCCTTATCTAGCTATACGAACACTTTTAAAGTTAGCCGATGACGAAGGTGACGTATTTCCTAATGCTGCAACAATATTACGCTCGGATGTATACATAGACAACATAGTAACTGGTAGTTCTTCGTTAGAAAACGCAAAACGCTTGAAAATCGAGTTGATTGGTCTCTTGGCGCGTGGAGGTTTTCAGTTGCGAAAATGGGCAAGTAATGAGCCTAAGTTACTCGATGACCTTCCCACATCTTTTTTAGCTAATGATTCTCATTTCTGGGATGAAGGAAATGATCTAAAAGTTTTAGGTTTTCGACCATTAGGTTAGGTCGTAGGCGACCTTCTTCCGATGACTTTTCTTATCGTGTAACCTCTGTAGTTGGAACCTGTTCTAAACGACAAATTCTGTCCGAATTGGCACGCATATATGATCCCATTGGATTTTTATCACCAATAACATTTTTTATTAAACGTGTTCTCCAACGTTTATGGTCCGCTGGGATCAACTGGGATGACATTCCCCCCGAAGATGTCCTCCAGTTCTGGACTCGATTTCGGGAAGAGTTACCCCTCTTATCAAATATTCGCATTCCGCGGCGCATTATGACTAATTTCGATTCTGAATTAAAATTACATGGCTTTTGTGACGCATCTCTTCATGGCTACTCAAGTGTCGTATATATACGAGAAAGTAATGCAAATGGTGTAATAAATGTTAGCTTTGTTAGCTCGAAAGCTCGCGTCGCTCCATTACGTCGTATTTCTATACCGCGGTTAGAGCTCTGTGGAGCAGTAATGTTATCAAACTTAATCGCATTAATGTCATATTTATCAATATAAAATTAACTTTCAATCAATATACGCTTGGACTGATTCAACGATTGTATTGTCTTGGATTCAGTCTTCTCCACATCGCTGGCAAACCTTTGTAAGTAACAGAGTTAGCCATATTCAAGAAAGAGTTGCTTCTTCTCAATGGAGACATGTTCAATCTTCTCAGAATCCCGCTGATATTGCAACTCGAGGTCAATTACCTTCAGAGTTCATAAATAATAGTATGTGGTGGACAGGACCTTCTTTTCTAAAAGAATCGGTTTCCTGGACCTTGCCCATCGAGACGAAGCAGTTCTCTTCTGAAGCTCTTGTAGAAAGTAGAAAAATATCTTTACATGTAATCACCGAAGAACATTTGCTAGACTCTCTTCTTCAACGTTTTTCTTCCTTTTCCAAAATCCAACGAATTTTAGCTTATATTCTTAGATTTATCAACAATTGTAGAAATACCACTTCCAGAAATCTTACTTATTTGACCCAACTTGAACTCAATAACGCATTTTTGTCATTGGTAAAGCACACGCAATACAGTAACTTTTCAGTACAAATTGATCGCTTTCACAGAGATCTTAAGCTATCTAAGCCTTTACGAAAGTTAGGAGTCTTCTGCGATGATTCCGGATTTCTTCGGGTCGGAGGTTGACTGAGACATTCTTCCCTGTCATATCAGCGCAAACATCCATTGTTGCTTCCTCGATCTAGCCGTCTTACCACCCTTCTCATAGAATGGTGCCACTTAAAATATCTTCACGCTGGTTGTCAGACAGTTCAATTTTTGTTAGTGCAAAATTTTTGGATTTTATCATCCAGAAGAGCAGTGAGGACGGTCATATCTAATTGTCGTATTTGCTGGCGACAGAATCTTCGACCTTATCAACCTATTATGGGTGACTTACCGAAATTTATAGTTTCTGAGTTAAAGGCATTTACACATGTAGGAGTGGATTACGGTGGTCCTTTCCTTATTACTATGAGAAGAGTGAGGGGAGCGAAAACATACAAATCATATTTATGTCTTTTTGTTTGCATGAGCACCAAGGCATTACATTTAGAGTTGGCATCAGACCTAACAGCAGACGCATTTTTAGCAGCATTACGTCGCTTTATTGCCCGTCGCGGTCGTCCCAGTCATATTTACAGTGATTGCGGTACGAATTTTGTTAAAGCTCAAAAACAACTTACTACGCTAATGTATTCCGCAGCCGCCACCGAGGCTTTGCAATGGCATTTTAATCCCCCAAGTGCTCCACACTTTGGTGGTATTTGGGACGCCGGAATTAAATCGGTAAAATCTCATTTAACACGCATCGTAGGGCAGCAGATTTTGACCTATGAGGAATTCAATACTGTATTAGTGCAAATTGAAGCCTTACTGAACTCTCGACCGCTTACACCATTAAGTAACGATCCGCATGATCTCTTGGCATTAACCCCCGCTCATTTCCTACATCTTAATCCGCTCTCTTGCCTACCTGAACAAAAGCTTATGAACTTACCCTTAGGTCGTTTATCACGATGGCAATTGCTTCAACGCATTTTGCAGGATTTTTGGTCGCGCTGGCAAAAAGAATACTTACATATTCTTTCTCAAAAGTCTAAATGGACTTGTTCCGATACTCGCTTCCCTAAACCAGGAGACTTAGTCTTGATGAAAAATGACCAGATGCCTCCTGCAGAGTGGCCACTAGGTCGCGTCGTTGAAGTATTTGCTGGTTCAGATGATGTTATACGAGTTGCTACCGTACGTACTAAGAATGGGATTTTCAAGAGACCTCTTGTAAAACTGTGCCCTTTACCTACGTCTAGCGCATAAAAAAAAACGCCTACGCCTTTTTTGGGGGGCGGTATGTTTAGAATTCAAGTTAATTTTAATTTTAAATATTATGGGTTGCCTATAGAGTAGGAAGAAATGTACACATTTTATTTTTGGTAGTTGTTCCTTATCATTGCGGTTATTTGTGTGGCAAAATATCACGCTTTTTGTTGAGGATTAAAAGTGAAAAGGACGTGTGCTTCAGACACAAAAGACATTTTTCCGCTAAACTACGCTCCAAAAAACTGAATTTTCTTTTAAGTGGTGCAGAAAGATAATTCTGGTGCATTATTGTGAACTATCTAGGAAGAAGCCGGCCGGCCCATCGCTCCAAGAATCGCTTTAAGGTGAGTTTTGTCACTCGCTTAATTTTACATTCATTTTCTGCATAATTATCGTTCCTTTGGGAATATTATTTTAATACATTAATAAATCCCAAACATTTTATGGTCAAGATTCGAGCCGGATTAATTAACAAAATTCATATTATATGTGTGCATTTCTTTTTTATTCTTATTGGCAAATTTATTTTCATTAACATTAATAAGACTATTTATAATTTAACATTATCTGAATATCATGGAAAAAANATTATATTATATCATATTATGAATGCTGTTTAATGATTACACATTGACAGGAAAGTTCGTGTATGTTTTTTCGATCACTATAATCACGCGGAAGCGATGGCAAACTCCGCTACCTAATTTCCCTTCCCGCGCCAGCCTAAAAGCCTTAGAAGTGCGCTTCCTAAGCCTTATAGTTGCACCACCTCACCGAAACCCACTACCCAGGTTGCGGACGCAAGAGTAGTATAGAAGTGGGGATTCTAAGCCACTTCAAGGTCACCACCGGGCAGCCGCTATCTGGAGCTGGCACCATGTCTCCAGCAGCAGCTCCAAGGTCACGCTGAAGAAGTGTCAGTGGGGTGCGGGGGTCGAAAATCTGGATTGCAGAAGAAGAAACCGGGGTCCGTCGGCAATGACCAGGAGGTCGGCATCGAGGAGCGTCACGTCAGAGGCGGCACCAGGTGCGTGCATTAGCAGCGGCGGGGGGCAGCGGGGTGCAGGCGTGAGGGGCGGCAGCGGGGTGCCGGCGTGCGGGGAGGCAGCGGAATGCCTGTGTCAAGGAGCAGGGAGCAGGGAGCGGGATGATGAAGCAGGCGGCCGGAGTCGGCTTGCGATGCTGGAAGCCGGCAGCGGGCGGCGGGGGGCGGCGGCGGCAGCGGCAGCGGCGACGGCCTCTTGGTACCAATCTTTTTGTTACAAGGTAGAAAATATAAGAAACGAGCCCGCGTAATTTTAAGATAACAACATGATGATGTAATATGTGATGTTAATATAAACAAAGCGGAGACTTCAGATAAAAATCGTCTAATATTACTCATGACAAAAATATTATTTAAAAA